ATTTGCACATTTTCTCCCATTCTATAGATTGTCTTTTTACTTTCTTGATAATGTCCTTTGATGAATGAAAGTTTTTTTTTTTTTTCCTTTTTTTGTCTTTTTTCGTGCCCGGCAACGGATCGCAACCCTCAGTGTCGCGCCCGTACCGGACCGGGACCGGCAACGGGATCGCAAACCTTGGTGTTGCGCCCGCACCTCGCTCAGCCAGTGAGCGGCCGGTCTGTATGTGGGATCCGAACCCTCGGCGGGAGCGCCACCACGCTCCCAAGCGGCGCACTGTAGCAGTGCGCCACCGGGCCGGCCCGATGAATGAAAGTTTTTAATTTTGATGAAGTCCAATTTGTCAATTTTTTCTTTTTTTTTACTTGTGCTTTTATTGTTATATCTAAGAATCCGTTGCCAATACCAAGATAGTGAAGATTTACCTCTATGTTTTCTTCTAAGATTTTATTTTATCCCCCTATTTTGTATAATATACAAGTTTGGTCTACAATAAAAAATTACATGACGTGAAGAAGTGGAAAAATATAACTGATAATCGAGGTAACAAATAAATTAGGAGTAGACCCACATAATTTAGATATTGAAGTTAATCCTACAAAGTATTTAAAATAACTGTGAATAATATCTTAAAGGAAATAGAAGGAAAGTACAAAAGGGATGAAAAGATAGACAATCTAAAAAATTAGAATTCATAAGAATAATCACTGGCTGGCCACCAAAAAAAAAAAAAAAAAAAAAAATGGCTTTCTAGATTTGAAAAATACAATTTTTGAAAGAAAAAACTCATTAGATGGGTTTAACCCTAGGGGTCAGAAGAAAAAAAAAAAAAAAAAAAAAATCAAATGGCTTTCTAGATTTGACAAATACAATTTTTGAAAGTAAGAACTCATTAGATGGGTTTAACAACATCTGAACATAGAGCAGAAAGCAGAATTAGTGATTTAGAAGGCAGATCAGTAGAAAATATCCAAATTGTAACACAGAGAGGAGAAAGAATAGAAAGAGACCAGAGCAAAGATATACATGTGACATGGCCAAAAAAGGTATAACATATGTGTAATTGAAATCCAAAAACAATAGAATTATATTTTTAAAGTGCTGAAGGGAAAAAACAAAAACCCCACCTATCTTGAATTCTATACCAACAAAAATATCCTTCAAAGATATAGGCAAAATACATTTTCAGACAAACAAAAGCTGAGAGAATTCATTGCCAGCAGATTTGCACTACAGGAAACATTAGAGGAAGTTCTTCAGGTTGAAAGAAGTGGGTGTTTGTGTCCTCCAAGACATAATAGCCTGTAACTGGAAACAGCTCAAATGTCCATAAACAGGAGAATGGATGTATAGATTATGGTATATTCATATAATAGAATACTACGTGACGGTAAAAGAGAACAGAGTATTGATATATGAAGTAACAAGGCTTAATCTTAGACATGGTGAGTGAAAGAAGCAAGACAAAAGAAAATACACTGTATAATGCCATTCCTATGAATTTAAGAATAGCAAAATTAATCAGTGATAGAAGTCAGAATAGTGTTTACCTCCGTGTGGGGATTACTGACCAGGAAGGAGCATGAGGGAGTCTTCTGAGGTACTGGTAATGCTGGGGTTTTTTGGTTTTTTTTAAAATCTGGTTGGTGATCACATGGGTGTATATTTGTGTAAAAATGTATTGTGTAGAGTTATATATTTAAGATTTATGTACTTTAGTATATGTTTTTCCTCAATTGAAAAATGTTTTGTGTTTTCTTGTAAGTAACCAGTTACTCTTAGTCACCCGTTGTATAAATGAAAAAATCAACAAAATAAAGACATTGCTAATTGGAGTTACAGAGTAAAGCCAAAATGAGAAGAGATTAAAATGGATAGGGAGAAGATAGAATTTAAAATCTAAGCTTTAAGGAATGAACAGAATTTTGAATTTTATAGTTGTAAGAAGCACAACCCCCGATGTCTTACTGCTGATTTTGTATTGCCTTTTAACTTCCATTCTCTTTTTTTCTCCCCCATCTTTGCTTGAATACAGTATAGGATTCTTCTTTATATCAGCCAGCAACAGCCAGTTACTGTTGCTAGGATTCATCTGAACTTTGAGTTAATGGTAAGAGTTCCCCATATTGGAATCATTAACTCCTTTGGGATAGGTTTACCGGAGAGATTATTCCGAACATTCCTGGTAGAAATTAGATCCAGGGCTTCAGCCCTGGTTGTCAGCATGAGTATCTAACAGAGCCTTTCAGAAAGGTCTCTTGGTTGGCTACCTTCTGGGAATGTGGACTAAGGGATGATTGGTGGAGGGTGGGAGGGAAGAAGAAAGGTTATCGATACCTCTCTTTGTTTTTGTTTTTGTTTTAAAGGATCTCAATTGGCTTTATTGTGATTCTAGAATCAGGCAACACGTTATTCCATAAAACAGAATAAGTGTATTCCTCATTCCCCCCAGTCCCTCTTTTTGGGCTCACCTGAGTCAAAGCCCCCCTTCTCTATGAGTTTAAGCAATCAGATTTATCCATTATGCTACTTACGGTTGAATTATCCCAACATTTCTTCTTTCCTAGGTTCGGCCCAATAACTATAGCACCTTTTATGATGACCAGAGACAAAACTGGTCCATCATGTTTGAATCAGAAAAGGCTGCAGTGGAGTTCAATAAACAGGTGATATCATCTTACTCTTCCTGTAAAAAGCCAGAACACTTGTTTGGATATCCCTCAATTTTAGGAAATTATATGGAAAACCCATAAACTGCTATGTTTTGTTAGTGACAATCATAAAAAATTACTAAATTTGTCATATGAGCCTATTATATTTCAGGAAAACAATACGAATATTTATTGAAGCTCCTTGAAGCTCCTTGATCAGGAGAATTTTTAAGGAAAAACAGCTAAATGTAAACTTACTTGATTAAAATATTTTTCTGCTACATAAATTATCTTTTTTTTTTTTTTCTTTTTGTCTTTTTTCGTGTCCAGCAATGGATCGCAACCCTCAGTGTCGCGCCCGTACCGGACCGGAACCGGCAACGGGATCGCAACCCTCGGTGCTGCGCCCGCACCTCGCTCAGCCAGTGAGCGGGAACCGGTCTGTATGTGGGATCCGAAACCTCGACGGGAGCGCCGCTGCGCTCCCAAGCGGCGCATTGTAGCAGTGCACCACCGGGCCGGCCCTACATAAATTATCTTCAAGGAATAAATAAAACTATCTTTTAAAAATAGTGTTTTGAAAGAATTTTTAAAGTTATCACACACTCATTATAGAAAATTTAGAAAAGTTTTTTTTTTTTTTAAGATGACCAGTAAAGGGATCTTAACCCTTGCCTTGGTGTTGTCAGCACCACGCTCAACCATTGAGCAACCGGCCATCCCTATATAGGATCTGAACCCATGGCCTTGGTGTTATCAGCACTGCACTCTCCCAAGTGAGCCATGGGCCAGCCCTAGAAAAGCATTTTTTAAAAAACCACTTATAATCTTACTATCCAGAGTAATCACTATTAACGTGTTATGTTTCCTTTTTTTCCTATGCATAATATATATAAGTAGATGTACTCCTTTAAGAGTTCAGTATCTTGCTTGTTTTACTTAACAATGTACAACGCATCTTTTCCTACTTCATGACAAATTATTTGGAAACATTTTTGAAGGCTGCATAATATGGATGTTGTTGGCTATGATTTGAATGTGTGTGTCCTTCCAAAAGTCATGTTGAAGGGCCGGCCCGGTGGCACACTGGAGAGTGCGCCGCCCCGCCGAGGGTTCGGATCCCATGTGGAGACCGGTTCCCGCTCACTGGCTGAGCGCGGTGCGGGCGCAACACCAAGGGTTGTGATCCCATTACCGGTCAGTAAAAAAGACAAAAAGGAAAAAAAAAAAAAAAAAGTCATGTTGAAACCTAATCACCAAGGTGATGGAATTAGGAAGTTGGGGTCTTTGGGAGGTGATTAGGTCATGAGGATTCAGCCCTCATGAATGATATTAATGCTTTGATAAAAGAGGTCGTAAAGAGCTGCCTCCCTCTTCTGTTCTTTCTCTTTCTTTTTTTTTTTCTGACCAGTAAGGGGATCTCAACCCTTGGCATGGTGTGATCTGCACCATGCTCAGCCAGTGAGCTCACGGGCCATTCCTATATAGGATCTGAACCCACAGTCTTGGCGCTACCAGCGCCGCATTCTCCTGAGTGAGCCATGGGGCTGGCCCTGTTCTTTCTCTTTCTGCATGTGAGCACACCTCAAGAAAACACCATCTGTGGAACAGGCCTGCACCAGACACCGAATCTGTTGGTGCTGTGATCTTGGACTTTCCAGCCTTCGAGACTGTGAAAAATAAATTTCTGTACTTGAAAATTACCCTGTCTGAAGTATTTTGTTATAGCAGCAGGAACAAACTAAGTTTGCTGTAACAAAGTACCTATAAACTGTATCACTAATAAATAACAGAAATGTATTTCTTATAGCTCTGGAGGCTGGGAACCTGAGGTCAGTATGCCAGCATGGTTGGGTTCTGGTAAGGCCCTTTTCTGGGTTGCAGACTGCTGTCTTCTTGTTGTATCCTCACACAGCATAAAAAGGATAAGAGAGCTCTCTGGGGTCTCTTCTATAGGGGCTCTAATTCCATTTATGAGGGCTCTACCCTCATGATTTAATTACCTCCCAAAGGCCTCACCTCCTAATGCCATCCATCCCATTGGAGGTTAGGATTTCAACATAAGAGTTTTGGGGAAACATAAATGAATATTAAGTCCATAACAGATGTTCCTTAATTTATTTAACCATTTCCTTACTTTTAGGCATTTAGATTGTTTTCAATCTCTGCAATAAATGATACTGTAGTGAGCATTTTTAAAATATAAGTTTGTGTAACTGCATATTTCTTTAGGCTTTATTTATAGAAATGAATGATTGGGTCAAAGGGTTGATATTTTTAGGTTCTGAATACACTTTGTCACACTGCTTTTCAGAAAGATTATACTATTTCACACTTATCAATTCTCTCACTATACCTTTGTCAGCATTTAGAATGATCCTTTTTTTCTTTTTGTCTTATTTGCTTGGTTAAAAAATGTCTTTGTTTTAGTTAGCATATATTTGTTGCAATAATGAAACTTTTTTTAAGAAAACGAATAGCAAGTTTTTAATGTATATTATGTTATAACACTGACTATAGAATAATTATTCACAGAGGTGTGTCTGACTCCTTTGTCTAAAATTTGTGCTAAGATAGTACGGCCAAATCTGTACGTGTTGGTGATGTGAGTTCTGGGAATGCAACATAATTTTGTAAAGGGCCTTTTTACTAGCGTACTGTCTTTAGAAGTGCCTTTTTAGAAGCTCCCCTTTCTTTCATTGGTTCCCAAACACTGAAACAGTAAGTCAGTATAGTAATCACAGTAACGTTTATGGAATACTTACAATTATTTGCCAAATATGAGCTACTTGTATTAGCTCACTTAATTTTTACAACTACCCTATGAGACATACTAAGCTTTTCTCTCCATTTTATAAGTGGGGTCTCTTATGTTATTTGGCCAAAGTCACAAAATTAATAAGTGGCAATACCTGGATCTGTACCCAGACATTCTGACTCCAAAGCCATATTCTTAGGCATTGTGATTCCTGGAGAGATTACTGACTTTGGAATGGTTTACTTCTGAACATGAAATCTGTTTTGTTATTGGACACAGCTGCTTGGGAAAGAGCATTAGCAATAATGGAATGTGTTCTTATTGAGCTGAGACTAAGTTTATGCTGTTTTGATTTTGTCTTGCAGGTGTGCATTGCCAAGTGCAACAGCACTTCTTCCCTGGATGCAGTGCTCTCACAGGACCTCATTGTGGCAGAGGGCCCTGCTGTAGAAGTTGGAGATTCTTTGGAAGTGGCTTATACCAGCTGGCTCTTTCAGAATCATGTGCTGGGCCAGGTAAGAAAATGTACCCTGCAAGTTCTTTTGTAATTTAAATAGCATGAGGTTTATTTCCATGGACGGTATTATTACTGTGGATCGCTGCTGTTGTCAAATAGAAATCTTTTAGGAGCCCTGCTTTAGTCATTGCTACTGCTTTGGGGGTATATTCATGAAAGGCTAATTTGTAAAATGTACTCAGTGCCACTCTATCTGTTCTGCTTAGGGGAAGTGGAAAACAATTTCCCAAGGGTTATTTTTGCTTATTGTTCATGCGTATCTCTTTTCCTCCTATACCAGTTTTAAACATGAATATGTTCTTATGGAATTATGTCTTAAAACTTTTTTTTAGATCCTCCTCACAGTTTTTCTCATAATAGACATTATAAATATGTTGGGCTTGTTGTATTTTAATGTTATTAAGCTCTCAAAAGCAATATAGTATTATAGAAAGATCTTTAGACTATGAATTTAAAAAAAATTTGGATTCAAGTCCCAATTTTATCCTAATTTGACCAAGTCATTTAAGTTCTCAATTTTTTTTTTTTTCCATTTGTGAATAGAGGTTATTGATCTTTACTCTGCTTATTTGGCATGATTGGCATCAGCATCAAATGAAATCATTTATTTGAAAATATTTTATAGATAAAAAATGCTTAAATACATTGTGGTAGAAATGTATTTTTTTCTAAACTTGGAAAATCATTGTCTCAGAGATATTCATTATGATAATATCCTTTAGCCATGATGTGGTCCCATCTTTTCAGGTCCTTTAAGAACTATTTGTATTTGATATTCCCCTTTCCAGAAGTACTGTGCTGGTATGTAGTTAGTTGAATATCGTAATAATAATTATTATTTTTGAAATTGGCTGACCTCATTTACTTTGATCAAATTGCAGGTTTTCGACTCCACTGCTAACAAAGATAAGCTGCTTCGCCTGAAATTAGGTTCAGGAAAAGTCATCAAGGTAAAGGCTTAACCTTGTTTTTGTGTGGTTTTATCAGTTGCAGTGAACTTAATTTAGATTAAATTTTTGTGAAATTTGTAACCTGGGTATATCTTCTGAGACTCTGAAAATGCTTGGTTGAAAAGTAGGTAGGAAAAATGTATCACATTATTTGCATTTGGGAGATTTTTACCTATGAAACACTATTTTGAGAATGGTCTTACATTTCTTTTCTTTAGTCCCTACCCTTTCTTCTTCATCCTGTGACTCTTGAAGAAATTACTACATACTTCCTATAGCCTAACAGGGAAAGAGGTGAAACTTTCTTTTAGAAGTGTGTCATAATGGGTTGATTCTCACCTGTCTGGGTTTCTTTGAATCAGCCCTTCCCAGTCATTGTGGGAGGCAACTATGACATAGCAGGAGGAGCACTGGGATTGGAATCTGAGAACCTAGGTTCACGATGTGGATTTTTTCTTTATCAACTGTGTGAGTGTTTTATAAAATGAAGAGTATTTTACATGGAGTATCATGGTGTCTACTTTTCCCAGAATCCTTTGGAGACTTTTTCCTATAGATCATAGCAATTAAGGCATGATCCTTGACTCTAGGCAAATCTAGTGTTGAGTTTCAGCTTAACAACTTACTAACTGTATGATTTGGGGCTAGTTATTTTATCTCTACAAGCCTCAGTTTTCTCATCTGTAAAATGAGGATAATGCTACCAACCTTATGAGGTCATTCTGTGGATTAAACAAGATAATGCATGTAAAGCACTTACCACAGTACCTGGAAAAAATGTGCTTAATAAATGAGGTTCTTTATTTCTCTTTTATTACCATTCTTTTATCCTCCCCATTTTCTCTCATCATCTAAGATATGTATATTTCATCCAACCCCAGTTGTGTCAGCTTTTACAAGTAGCTTTAGAAGCTGTATTCCAGATATTCTTATAACCAATGTGGGGCGATAGTTGAACCTGACCTCTGGAAGCACTGACTAAATCTGAAAGTGTGAATAAGTGAAACCTGATGCTTCTGTACTTCACTTTGTCTTATGAGGAGCTTCTTGTCTGATGAGCTTTTCCCCATCTCTGATTTCTAAAGAGCTGGGAGGATGGAATGCTGGGCATGAAAAAAGGAGGGAAGCGGTTGCTTGTCATCCCTCCAGCCTGTGCTGCTGGCTCTGAAGGGGTAATAGGCTGGACTCAATCAACGGACTCAATCCTGGTGTTCGAGGTGGAGGTTAGACGGGTGAGTGAAACTGCGCTGTGTCGTGTTGTGAGTCCTGTGAACATCTCTTTGCTAGTTAAGTAAAATGAATAAATAAATGAACATGTTTGAAAGCCAGGTTCTGAAAACATAGATTTCTTTTAAAAAGTAGTAATGGTGTAGTCAGAAAGAACAACAACTTTGGAATCTAAAGATCAAGGTTTATGTTCTTCCTGGCTCTCTATTCACAATCTAGAAGAGGTTGTGACTTTGAGCAAATCACATCTCCAACATAAGCTTCTTTTTATTTTGTCTATGAAATACTGATTTCTGCCCAATGTATGTATCTTTTGGCTTAAGGATTCCATGGGTACAAATTTATCCTATTGATACATTTACATAAGTATGCAAAGATGTATGTATATATATGTATGTATGTATGTATGTGTGTATGTGTGTATGTATGTATGTATTTTTCTCCCTCTGCCACATTGTAATAGTGAAAAACTGGAAACAACCTAAGTATCCACAGTTAGGAGACTGGTTAAATTAAGGTTTTTTCATAGAGTAGACTTTTATGGAACTCTTAAAGAATATTCAAAATCTATTATTAAGTGAAACAAGCAAGTTGCAGAACAGTATGGATAGTATGGTCTCAGGTGGTGTGCGTGTGCACATGCGTGTGTGTGTATACAATTTGTAGCAATTTTATTATAGAAATTATTCATATTCATGATAAAATTTTTAGATGGTACAAAAGGGTAGATGCAAAAAGTAAAAGTTTCTGAACTCCATTTCCATTCTCCAGAGAAAATCACTTATAATCATTTATTTTAAAGCTTACAGAAATTTTCTATGAATATATGGGCATATATGTATCTTTTACATGTATGTATGCTGTATCATTATAAGTGATTTTCTCTGGAGAATGGAAATGGAGTTCAGAAACTTTTACTTTTTGCATCTACCCTTTTGTACCATCTAAAAATTTTATCATGAATATGAATAATTTCTATAATAAAATTGCTACAAATTGTGGTTAATTAAATTAATGCTACCTTTTCTCCCAAAGATGACCTTATTTGCTTTTTACTCTGATTGTTAAGTTCAAATGTGAGAGTATTTGTGACTATGAAATATATACAAAACTATAAAGTACAATACAGATAATTAATACTATGGTCATCGTCATTATGGCTATTATTCCTGCCACAGAGAAGGATATATTTTCCTTTGTAATGACTCTTTCCTAATTGTACACCCTTATCTCTGCTGGGTTACTCTAGCCCTCTTTCAGTGACATGCTCCCAGCTGCTTTTTTTTATAGCTTTTGTAGTCTCTCTCAATTTTCCATTACATTTGACGAAATCATGGCCGGTGATAGACAACAAACCAATTTGAATCTGTCACGACTGGCATTTTGTAAACATAAGAAAAAATTTTTATTTTACCGGTAATCAAAGAATTACAAGTTGACATGCATATTAAATTGACAAGGCTGATAGAAAATGGTAATACCTAGTGTTGCAAGAGTGTTGAGAAAGATTTATACACTATTTGTTGTGTATAAACTAGTTCACTTTGGTGGGAAATTTAATGGTATATATTAAAAGTCTTAAAAATGAGCATAACTTTTATTCAACAATTTAACTTCTGCCAAATATTTAAGATTATGTGCAAAGATATAGATATAAAACTATTCACAGAAGCATTGTTTATGATAGAAATAAGCTGAATGTCTAACAGTGAGGAATTGGTGAAATATATTTTATAATAGCACAGATACTTATAACTTTGGTTCCCAAAATCCTTGGAAGACTGTTTCCTATAGATCATAATAGTAATGGAAGTTAGAAATACTCTTCAGTAGTTAAAAATAATGTATTAAACTTATATTTATTGATATGGAAATACATTAATAAGTCAGTGAGTAAGCAAAACAGGTTATAAAACAGTATGGCACATCTTTGTAAAAAATACACACACACAGATAATATAATGGTAGTTAGATTGCAGGTGATTATTACCTTTTTCTTTTTGTTTACCTACTTTTTGTGATTTGCCTGCAATGAACAGGTAATGACTTTTGTAATAAAGAATAAGTAAAATTAAAGGATGGTGGAGAGGAAGAGTATTTATAGCCTATTCCACCTGTGGTGGCTCTTTCCCTAGGTGAAGTTTGCCCGAGATTCTGGCTCTGATGGGCACAGTGTTAGTTCCCAGGATTCTGCAGCCCCTTCTCCCATACCTGGTGGTGACGGCCTCTCTGCTGATCCTTTTATATCACCAAGTACATCGGTGCCTTTCAAATCAGGGTAAGATACTGGGGTTGTATCAAGCTCTTTTATTGTTTGTAAAAATGATTCTTGTGGGGGGTCAGAAATAGGGATATAGTTAAAAACTAAAATAATTTTAAGTAACCAGGAAAAAATGGGATCAGGAAAATGGGGAAAATAATAGCATCAGATTTTTATTTATAGTTTATAAAAGGACTAACTGAGGGGCCGGCCCGGTGGCGCACTGGATAGTGCGCCACTTGGGAAGTGTGGCGGCGCTCCCGCCCGAGGGTTCGGATCCCACATACAGACCGGTTCCCGCTCACTGGCTGAGCGAGGCGCGGGAGCAACACCGAGGGTTGCAATCCCGTTGCCGGTCCCCGGTCCGGTACGGGGGCAACACTGAGGGTTGCAATCCGTTGCCGGACATGGAAAAAAGACAAAAGACAAAAAAAAAAAAAAAAAAAAAAAAAAAGGACTAACTGAGATAAATAAGAATACCTGCAAAAGTCTAGAAGAAAATTGAGCAGAGGCCATATACACAAAAGAGAAAAAATGTAAGTAATAAGCATTTGGATGGAAAATTGTTCATCTTCACTAACATTCAAAGGTCATGCAAATGAAAGAAGAGTTAAAATTCTGTTTTATAGCCATTAAATTGGTGAACATTTTCCTTTTTTTTTTTTGTTTGGCAGCTGGCTGGTAAAGGGATGCAAACCTTTGGTGTTACCAACACCATGCTTTAACCAACTGAGCTAACTGGCCAGTCCCTGGTGAACATTTTCAAAACTAATTTGTTTATTTGGTATAATCTGGACTTGTGATTATGGGTTTTATTTTTATCTCAGGATTGTCTTATTTGCTTTCAGGGAGCCAGCTCTTCATACCAAATCTAACTCCCTCAGTGAACAGCTTACAATAAATACAGTAAGTATAAGAGTCTATTTCACTCCCTCCCAGTGTGCTGCGAAGGTTTCATGTGCCTAGGTTAGAGAAGAAAAATGTTAGGAACCATTGTGTTAGGCTAGAAATTAATGGTTATTTCATTCATTTTTTCTTACTTGGGAGTCAGTGTAAGTTAGTCTGGGCTTCTGCATAGATAGACCTGGGTTCAGATCTTGATTCTTGTAAGCATGTGGCCTTGGAAAGATTATCTTACTTCTCTGATCATCAGTTTCTTATTATTAAAATGGAAATAATTCTCACAGCCCCCTTATATAGTTCTTTTGAAGGTTAGAGATGTTTGTAAAGCATTGGGCTCGGAGCATAAATATAATCATATATATATGATTGTTTTTGGAGAATGGTGTTAGATTGGGGGAGACACCCCTTCAATTTTAGAAATATTATTTATTCAAAGGGGAATAAATTAGTGGTTAATTCTAGGTTCCCTTTGCTATTTACTTTCTGTGACTTTGAGCAATTTAGCTTCTCTAAACCTCAGGTTTATTCCTTCATCTGTAAAATGGAGGTATTGCCTATATCCATGAAATTTTTAAGACTTTAAAATAAAGTGGTGCCTATAGGGTTTTTAGTATTATGTCTGGCAGATCATAAGAGCTCAATAAATATTGACTCTTGTTATTACCGTAATTACTGCTAATACTACATATCTTCATGCTCTCATTCTCTCAGAGGAATTTGGCACTAATCCACCTACTGATTCTGAGCAGGTCACTGGGTCTCTGTGTTTCCCCAGATGTAAGATGAGAGTGTCAGCATACTGTTTTAATAAAATTTGGATTTGAATGCCATTAGGAAGGACATATGTGGTATTTTACTACTGCCCTGCCTGGTCCAAGAAGGCTTCTGAGTTTGTTGCATGTGGACCAGGTGGTGGCTAAAGCACTTCAAGTCCTAAAGCCCTGTGGCTTTCGCCTACCACACTGGGATACAGAATAGATGCATGAAGTGAAATTGATGCTTAATTTCTCTCCAGTTCTAGTTTACTTGTTTATATTCATCCAGGGCAGGAATTATTAAGCAAATAATTGATCTGATAGATGTGGAAAGTGATCTCCTAAACCCAGAAGTTTAAAACAAAGAGTCAGAAGAAAATTGAAAAATCATTATAATCTCAGATCTTGAACAGCCACAAAAATTGTCCAGTATTGGTTCTGTTTTACTCTCTGGTCATAGCTACTCTTGTCATCTATTCCTAAGCTTAATAACTTCTGGTAGACTAGTGGTTTCCTACCTTTTTTTTTTTCTTTTCCTTTTTTTTTGTTTTTACAATCTTGTTTTTGTTTTTTTTTAATTGAGGCAAAATTCACTTAACATAAAATTAACCATCTTTTTTTACATGTAAATTTTTATGTTTTGAATAGGTAATTACATTCATATGGTACAATTATCAAAATAATATAACAAGATATTCATTGTGAGGATTTACACCTATTACTGTTTCCGTTTACCCTATTTCATCTCATACCCCTTAGGTAACTGCTTTTATTAGTTTCTTATACATTCTTTCAATGTTTTCTTTATGCAGGTGCAAGCAAATAGGAATGTATATTTTATTCCTCTCTGCTTTCACACACAAAAAATAGTGTACTCTATATGTTATGCACCTTGCTTTTTACATATAAAGAATATATATATCATAATATCTTTCCATGTTAGTGTATAGAGCTTCCTCATTCTTTTTTTAATCTGTAGATCATGATATTTCATCGTGTGGATATGATTTATATAACTAGTCCTCTCGATGTATTTAACTTTTTTTGATTATGTACCTCTGTGAGTTAAGAAAAAATGAGCACACACAACCCCAATATATGTTTAGTGACAAATTATATACATAAAGTACTATCAATCCCTGTAAACAAACTTAATGTCTTATGTTTGTAGCTTAAAAGTAAAAATGGAGGTTAATCATTTCTTCATACACCCAGAGCATCTTGTGTGCCTTCAGGTATGTGTACTCTCCATTCTGAAGACTGCACTTTGGACCGGTTAATGGATACAGAAGCTTCCAGCAGAGGGCCTAGTGTGTAGTCACTGCCAAGTCAGAGCTAAATAAACCTGAATTTAGAGCAAAGAGCTCCTGTTTCCTTTTTTCCACAAATCTCTTCTGAATATCTATTTACTGAATTGCTTCATACTTTCGAGAGGGTACTAGCATCTAAAATGACTCCCTAAGAAAAAAATTTTTAAAAAGAAAAAGAAAATGACTCCTTCCCTTAACATCTCCACCTTAGTTTTTCATCTGTAAAATGATAATAATTACGCCTGGTGGCTAAACTTTACTGAAATGAGGTAATACATATGAAACTACTCTGTCCTTTTCAGACATGTAACAAATTCTTTTTAATTTATTTCAGATGTAACTGCTATTATTAATTGTGACCCACGTATGCTTCTACACAAGAAGTGTTTAATTTTCATTTTCTAGAGGAAACGGTTTCAAATAGATATGGTAGGGGGACTTGTTAAAGGATTTGATTCAGGAGCCAAAGGGATAGAGCTACCTGAAAGTAATGAACATTGATCACTGATTTTTGTAACTTTCCTCTCTTTTTAGAGTCCTGATACAGTCAAGGCCAAGTTGATATCTCGGATGGCTAAAATGGGCCAGCCCATGCTGCCCATCCTTCCACCACAGCTGGATTCCAATGATTCAGAAGTCCAAGTATGTCACCCTGGCTCTGTTAGAATGAATCATAGAGATGTTGCCATCTTCTGTTCTTTTGGTTGAAATGATTGCTTTTCCTGCCCACTAACCCGGAATCATTATTGAGGGTTTATATGCAAAATGATACCGACTGGTATTACATGTGTTTTTACTGGGATAGGCACTACCCCTGAGAAGTGAAAGCAGTTCCACACATCCCTACCAGAAGAATTGGGCGGTTTTAAGTAGTTAACTTAGCCTTCATTTACTAGAATCTTTATTGTCAGTAAAGATCACTCTTTAGGTAGCATGATGTCCAACCCATAGGAGGAGGTCAATTCATATTTGCTGACTGAATGTTTAGATCATTTTGGGAAATGTTGGTCTTCCCACTGATGTCATTACTAAAGATCAAACTGTTACGTCTTTTGTCTTTGCATGTGATGTTTTTGTCTGTTTGTTTTTTATTTAGAAGTTCAAGAATTTTATTGAAATCAAACCTGTCAATTTTCTTCCCTTGTTTTTTGTTTTGATATTATCTTAGAAAATCTTCCCACTTTCAGATATTACAAAAATCACATGTAATTTTTTAAAATATCTATTATTTCATTTTTAGATCTAAATTTTAATCTATCTGATATTTGATATATAATATGAAGTAACTTAATTTTAACTTAATCCTTTTCCCAATGGCTAGCTCCTTACTGAATAACATCATCCTTTCCTGATTGAATTGAAATACATAACAGATTGATTTTTAGGATTATTTTACTTAGATATAAAATGAAGGAAAGGTGATACTTTTGAGAAAAAATTTTCTGAAATAGGCTTTCTTATTTACAATTTTGTTCATTTCTTCTTGCAAAAGCTCTAAATAGATTTAACATTTTAAAGGAAGGTAGGATTTCTGAGGCCTGTTGTTGTAGGATTAATTTTTATCTGGTCTCCTGTGAATGAAATTTGAATAAGGTAATATTTTAATAAAAATTTTATATGCTATTTATTCATTGTAGAATAATTTAAAATTATACATAAGGAAAGAAGAAACATATTTAACAAAAAGGTCATTCTTCTTTATATATTTCTGTGTAACTAGATTTTTAAACTTAATGTTATGCCATAAACACCTTATTGTAAATAATATGAATAAATAAAGCAAATCATTGTACCTTTAAAGGTAACCCAATGTTCTGTTATAACAATTTATCATAATTTCTTTTATTCTATTATTAGACATTTAGGTTGATTTAGAGCTGTAATGATCTAAACCTGGGTTGCTTTTCCAAAAGAGAATATCAGGGGACGAGGGGTAGTTCTAAAGTAAAGAATGTCAAAGAGATTTCAGCCCTTGAACTTTTGTCACAGCATATTACAGTCACTGTATACTATACCTCAAGATTTTCTGTTTCTTGTAAGAAACAGGAAGATGTGGGATAACTTTGTTTAGAGTTATAGTTTTGATTTAATGAAAAGCTTTGATTTTATTAAAAGAAAGAATGGACATACTCTAAAACTATAGTATACAAAAACATCATGTCAAGAGATACAGTGAATCCTATTCTGTCTGGTTTTTATTGAGTAACTTGAGGCCTATGGAGATTGTTTGGCAGAAGAGAAGAGGCTGGATTATTTTCTGGGTTTCCTTGTAAAAGACCCCTCTTTTGTGGGAACAGATTAGATTAATTTTAAAGTAGCAGCTGGTTTGGAAAATGTTACATTCTGGAGAGCTATCAGTTTAGCTGCTTCACATAATAAAATATCCACAATTTAGAATGTTTGTGGAAATTAACTGTATTTAATTATTCAATGTGATTTACAGGAAGAAGGGCTCTTACCCTGTTGTGTAATAGAATGCTTTCTCTCCACAATCCACACCCTAAACTCTTTTGGCTTGCTGCTTGCCTTTCCTTCCTCTTCTTTGCCTAGAAACAAAAGTAGTTTTAGGGTGCAAGCAGATTTAGGGTGGACAGTCAACCTCAGTCTTCACTTAAAGACCCATCCATAGTGACCAAAACCCTCATTCCTGTTTCAGGATATGAATGCTCTGCGAGGATCCGGGCAGCCTATGGGGACTGTGTCCACCCAGCCCTCTCTTCAGCCAGTGCATCCAGTGTTACCACAGATGACCTCACAGGGTAAGGAATCTGTAAGGCTCTGTGGCCTAGAATTGGGTCAGCACAAAAATTATCATCACTGTTCCTTAAATTGTTAGGCTACATTGTATTAGTACTGAGGACTGGACTAGAGTGTAAAGGTTTTCAGTTTGTCCTTGGGTTCAGTTTTTCAGACCTGGAGATGTATTGGGCCAGCTTATTGTGACTTCTGCTATGTTGCATTGTCAGTTTTGGAGATGTGCACTCAGCTATTGAGACATCTCCGCGTGGGTTATTCTGCACTTCCTGTCAGCTGATGGGATCACAGGTCTGAGGCAGATGCACATGAGAACATCCAGTTTCCTTCCATTGGTTCCACCAGAGCTGGTTTTAAAAAGGAGACTAGGTGAGGAAAGTGGTCGAGTCTGAAGCAAAATGGTATGTAAGGTGCTAGTCCAGACTGATACCAAGAAGCAAGGGGTAGATAACAGTGAAAATGTCTTGCTTTATCTTAGCACCTCAGCTGCCTGTTTCTGGGCTCCAACCACCCTCTGCTGCCTTAATGCAAGTTGCGTCTCTCGATTCCCACTCTCTTGTGTCTGGAAATGCTCAGTCCTTTCAGGTAACAGCATTTTAAAACCATATTAATTATAAGCTATAATTAATTTATTATGGTTCTAGTCAGTTTCTCTTCTTCCTGCAGAATTCGTACAATAGCCATTCTCAAAGTCAGAGTTTGTCATTTTTTTCCCTTCCTGAATCACCACTTTCTCATTTCTAAACCAGGCAAAGGATAACCTACCTTACAGTTTGTTGTAAAGAGTAAATGCAAGAACAAGCAAAGCACCTAGTGCAAGGCCTGGGCCTGGCAAGTAGTAAAAGTCCAATCAATGTTTGTTTCCTTTCCTTTTCACACATATCTACTTGAGGGGTATATATTCACATCTTCTGTGATCTTTTTTGTCAAACAATTGATAGGCTGTACTCAAGCAGAATGGTTATGGGTTGAGGGTGGAGGCTTTATGGAAAATACATCTGGACTCTGCTGTGTAGTAGTCCTCCAAAAATGACCTCTTAGAGAAGGTTTTTTTCTCTTATTACAGGAGGCAGTGGCAGCAGCCTGTCTGCCTCTGCTCATTATTTGCCAGGGTAGTGGACTCTCTTCTGCCTCAGCACACCCGATGGATAAGACACACTCCCAATGATAACAGGGCTCACTTGCTTGATGATTCTTGATGGAGGGGTGGGAGTAATGGTGGGCAAGTTGTGCCCCATTAGGATGGGGAGTGTCAAAACTGAAAAAAGTCCCACCCTTACCCTCTTGCTACCCACTTCTCTTCCCCTCAACTTCCACGGAGAATTTCTATCCTATAGACTCAGTTTTTTTGTTTTTTTAATGGATGGGTAGTTATATTTGTCTTTAGAAATGAGCTAGTTTTCCTTATTTCAAGAAAGAATAACCATCCTTATTAAAATGATTGCTTCTATTTATTGAGCATTTACTGTCTGCCAGGCACTTAACTTACCAGCTGTTATGAACATTTCTTATATCACTACATTTAGTCCACATAACAATCCTATGAAGTGATATTATTATCTTCATTTCACAGTTCAGGTGACAGGTTCAGAGGAAAATGAGAGCTCTTGATCACACAGTTAAGTATCTGAATCTAGTAGGGGTGAGGTATCCTTTGGACACTGGTGGATTTGGTTTAGAATCTCAGTGAAAACTTCTTTTTAACTCAACAGGAACTAAGCAGAGTTTGCTTAGTTTTTAAACTTCTTAGACAGTAGGCCTGAGAGTGGGGAATGAATTTCTATTTAATTAAATCATATCACCAGAGTACCGGGTAGTGACCCAAGGTACTCTTCCCTCAATTTCTGGGTAGGACTCAAGTGACCAGGTACCACTGAGTTACATAGATAAGTCTTGTGCTGCAATTCCTACCCACTGCCAAACCCTGATCTTCTCCATCTCCAGCTTCAATAAGTTCGAGTCTCCTCCCAGCTTATCCACTTTATCCCTCAAAGAAAACTGTAAGCAAAAAGAGAGACATGAATGTTTTATAAGCCAGCGATAACTTGGCACTTTCTCAGCCCTATGCAGGTATGCAAACCTACGCTTACCCACAGGCATCCGCCGTCACCTCCCAGCTGCAGCCTGTGCGGCCCTTGTACCCAGCACCACTCTCCCAGCCTCCCCATTTTCAAGGTAGGGAGCAATTCCCTCAGTTTTGCATCTTGCACTCTTGCTATGCTCTCCTTCCTCCCATTCCTTTTTCGTTTTTACTCCAACAGCTCTCTACCCTTTGTTTCATTTATTTTTTTCTGACAGCTTTGTTGAGATGTAATTTATATTCCATACAGTTCACTCATTTTAAGTGTACACTTAAAATTTTTGTAAAAATTTTTTAGTGAATTTATAGTGTTGTGCATCCATCACCATAATCCAATTTCAGAACATTCCCACCAACCCAAAGTCACTTTGTGCCCACTCTCTGTGTTTTGTTTCTTGCATTTTCTCCCATCATCTCTTTTAATTCCTCTGTCAGCCTGGCTAGAATTTATAGAAAATAGTAAAAGAGCAAAACATTGGAGGAAATTGGGAGAAAGCATGAAGACTGCTTGTGAGTGTTACATATCTCAAATGAAAGCTACTTTTTTGAAATTTTTAAAATACCAAATAATATACTTTTATAAAAACATAAAGCAATAAAGAAGGGTATAAAGTGAAAAGTTACTGTCCTTCCCCATGATTAAACCCTCCTGACCTTAGGAAACCATTGTTAATAGTTACTTGGGTAACTTTTCAGATACTTTGTATACATGTACAAGTGTGAGTGTCTTGTGTAAAAAATAAATAAATAAAATGTCAACAGGTGTGATGATATCCTGCTTTATTCTGCAGTTTGTCTTTTGCTAAGTAATCATCTTTGGTATTAGGATGTGGTAGGAAGAGGCAAGTATATCCTACAACATAATTTGTGGTTCTGGACTGGGAAGGGTTTCCTAGGTGCAGACTTTGTCTGAAAGCCCTCCCCCTTCTCTACCTGGGAAACCCTTTTACATGCATCAGAACTGTCTTCTGTGTGGAGCCTTACCTGACTGTTATCCATCCCTCCGTCCTCTCCTCCCAGAGACATAGCTGTGTATGTGTGTTGCCAAACAGTTAATCTTGCTTTTCTCTGTGCTGCTTTTGTACCTTGTACATGGTCCCTTTTCACACTTAAAATACTCTGCTGTAACGATTTGTTTACATGTCAGCCTCCCTACCAGACTGAGAGCTCACCGAGTGCAGGAACCCTATTGTATACATTGCTATGTCCCTGGTACCTGGCACAATGCCTGGCATGCAGTAGGATGAATGGGGAAGCAATCTGAGCTGCCACTGCAATGGCAGGCCGGAGAAGGCATATTTGTGCCCTTGAACCAGATGTAGTACATTTTGCAGGAACATAGCTTAGTTATTGTTAGCTTTGGAGCCCTTTGTCTCCGGTATCTCCTCTACATCTTCTCCTGACAGTGTGAAATCACCTACAGCATTTCCTAGTATATGAAAATGTTAATTTCTTTCTTTCCTCTGCTAAAAGAGCTATTAGCTTTTTCCTCATACAGTTTCTTCTTCTTCAATTTCGCAAGTTTATTTTTGGCTTATGTCTGTTTAGGATCAGGTGACATGGCTTCATTTCTCATGACTGAAGCCCGGCAACATAACACTGAAATTCGAATGGCAGTCAGCAAAGTGGCTGATAAAATGGATCATCTCATGACTAAGGTGATTGAGTCAGGGTTGGGGCTATGTTGAAAGTGGGGGTATAAACAGCGGGTATAAACAGGGAGCAGCCAGAGCTATAGGTAAACTCTTCCTTGGTTTTCTACATTCGTAGTAGTTAGTAGTAATTTCCCTAGAAGGATAGTTACTATTTTGGGATCCAATTAGCAGAGAAAACTCTAGCTTTTATTTAGAGATTGTCTCAGAAACTCATTAGCCCCCTCAAAAAAGTGTCAGATCTTGGGTAAGTTGTTCTTCTCCATTTTAAACTTTCTCACATGGTCTTTCTGGCATCCCTTTTGTAGGTTGAGGAGTTACAGAAACATAGTGCTGGCAATTCCATGGTTATTCCTAGCATGTCAGTTACAATGGAAACAAGCATGATTATGAGCAACATCCAGCGAATCATTCAGGTGAGGGGGGTGAGAACAGAATGCTCAACCTGGAGGTCTTGCCCATGCCCTCTCCCCAGGTGCACTGCCCTTTACAACCTCCACCCCAGAAATAGAGAACTTGTGACAAATGCTACACTGGGTAGAAAATTCTGGAAAATCCTTTAGGGCTTAATTTGATCCAAGTAACTTATCACTATTAACATAGTCAGAAGGAAACATTGCTTTTTGACAATATTTTAGAATTTCACTTCTTTTTATAGCCATTTATATACTCAATCCTTGTGAATGGGCTTAGTGATTTGTATCCAACAGGTATAATTTGATGTGCTGTTTTAACTGTTATATCTATGTAGACGTAAGTTCTCATTTTTCGTCTCAAAATATGTTAACAATGTCACCTGTCAGTTCAAGTTGATTTCCTTTTATCTGGCACTTTTCTCTAAACATACTTGAATTGTACATCATATATTTTGAATTTAGGAAAATGAAAGATTGAAGCAGGAGGTCCTTGAAAAGAGCAGTCGGATAGAAGAACAGAATGACAAGATTAGTGAACTAATTGAACGAAATCAGAGGTAATGACAGGTATGGGGCCTGGCTAGGATGGACAAAAGGGTTTAATGTGGGGCCGGCCCGGTGGCGCACTGCTACAGTGCGCCGCTTGGGAAGCGCGGTGGCGCTCCCGCCGAGGGTTCGGATCCCACATACAGACCGGCCGCTCACTGGCTGAGCGAGGTGCAGGGAGCAACACCGAGGGTTGCGTTCCCATTGCTGGTCCCAGGCCGGTACGGGCGCAACACTGAGGGTTGCGATCCGTTGCTGGTCATGAAAAAAGACAAAAAGGAAAAAAAAAAAGGGGGTTTAATGTGTAAATGCCTAAGTTAAATACACATGTCTGTTTATGGCAGTGCAGATGTATTTCTGCTATTTCTGTCTTCTGCCTGTCATGTAAATTATTGCCTGTTTTCTGAGAGGCGTTTCAGTGGAAAGAGCTCAGTAGGCTGTGACTGATGTAAGGTAGACCTGTGTTTGACTCCTGGCTCTATCCCTCATTTATTGTGTGGCTTTGGGCATTTTATTTATTCTTGCTGGGCCTACTTTCCTCAT